AAACTCTTCTATTTCTGAACTAAAGTCCCGTAAAGCATTGCTGCATATACATTGTCCTTTGCACATCAGTCTTCTCAACTGATTATGCATCATGTGCAAATTCATTATACGGAGAGCTCCATTCGAAGATACATTACTTTCCAGGCAATGAATAATTGATGATAGAAATAGGAGACTTAAATTTCACTTTGGAACTCAAGCTTCAGAAAATGAACTCTGGGTAGTTGTTACATGTGAAATAACTGGGAGCATTTACTAAGTAATGAAGTTAGTAATAAAATAGGGTGCACGACCAAAATGGACTCAGTCACAATCCTTGGCAAATGGTCTTAAGTGGGAATAAAATTGTATCTAAATCCAGAAATCAACAATAATGTCCAAGGATTTCTATTGTGTGTGCTCACTGAATGGACCCAATGATGACTCAATCGGAGATGATTAAAGTTTCACATCAAAATATTGGATTTCATGACAGCCGGAAGCTCCAGACATCATTAAGATCAAATCTCTTGAACTGTAGAATGTTCTGAGAGTCCACAGCCAGCCAACTCCACTTCCTGCATCCAACCCATCTCCGGCAACCCACTCAACACCTCCAATAAGAGGCAAAAGTGAGGTTTGGGGTGTCAACCCTTAGTAGAAGTTAAAGGATAGGGGATCATCTTGTCTCACAAACAGGATATTTCATTTTATGAATGATTTTTTAAAAAATCTCCACTTGCTTGAACAAGTGCAGCTCCAAAAGAACTCAAGAAGCTCAACATCATACAGGAAGCTGTCTGCTTCATCAGCACTCCATTCACCATGTTCAACATCCATTCCGTCCACCACTGATGCACAATGACAGAAGTGCATACCATCAACAAGATGTGCTGCAGCAAGTTGTCAAGCTTACTATGACAACATCCCCTAAACCTGTGACCTCTACCACCTAGAAGAGCAAGTGTATATGCAAATAGGAAATTCCTCTTCTAGTCATATCCTGACTTGGAACAATATTACCTTTTCCTTAATTGTCATGGCACCAACATCCTGAAATTTCCTCCCTCACAGTACTATAGGTGTATCTACACCACACGGACTGCATTAGTTCAAGAAGACAGATCATCACCACCTTCTCAAGCACGTTAAGTGATGGGCATTAAATGCCAGAAGCATTCATATCCCATGAAATAAATTTTTAAAAAGTCAGCAGTTCAGATGCAGCCTTCAGTTCTTTATTTGATAGCAGATGTTTGGAACTCTCTTCCACAAAAGATAACTGATGCTTGTTAATTGATAATGCCTTTCTTATAAAAATCTATTAAGGAAATTGTACCAAAAATGGGTATATGAAGTTAAGTAATAGAGCGACTATCTGAATCAAAGCAGCCCTCATGACCAATAAAATGAGAAGTGAGGTTCTAATTTGGGGGCAAAAAGCTTCATCAAAAAAAGTTGATTATTAAATTCATTCCACTAACACAAGACAGTTCACAATTCTAGAAAAAAATCCCAACAGATCTTTCTGGTCACAGTTATTTCTTCCCGGTAGCAAAGTATTGCTATTTGCCCCAGTTTTTAAAAGTTTTGAATTATTAACTTAAAATGTATTAACTTGACTTAAACTCTGATAGAGAGTGGCTCTTGTATTTTAGTCTATTTTGTTACAAAATAATATGATCAAAATGACGAAAGGGATTATTAAAAATAAACATTCCCTGAATGAGTATTGCATTCCAGCATTGATAGACCAAGTACTGTCTCTCTCTCTCTCTTTGTGTTTCCTATTCCTAGGAAAGGGAAACAAATCATGTTGATAGAGCAGTACCCCTTCAGCTTAGTGGGGGAATCTAGTACTGGGGCGCGTAATGTAAAAACCAGAGTCATGCCTGCCAAGAGTAATTAACAAACATGTTTATGCATGAAGGCTGGCAGATGTTTGGACCTCACTTCCACAAAAGACAATTGATGCTAGTTAATTGATAATACCTTTGTTATAAAAAGGTTTTAAGGAAATTGGAGCAAATATGGGTATATGATGTTAGGTGATAGATCAACTGTGAACTAATTGCATGGTGAAATAGTCTTAAGGGGCTAAATGGCCTCCTCCTTTTCTCATTTTCCAGATTGTTTCACACCACTCTTTCCGTTGCCCACTAACCAGCTTCCCTTATATTTCCCTCTACACCTGCATTCCCCATGCAGATGGCCTTAAGGCCCTCCGCTTCTTCCTGTCCCGCAGGCCCGACCAGTCCCCCTCCACTGATACCCTCATCCGCTTAGCCGAACTCGTCCTCACACTCAACAACTTCTCTTTCAATTCCTCCCACTTCCTACAGACAAAGGGGTTAGCCATGGGTACCCGCATGGGCCCAAGCTACGCCTGCCTCTTTGTAGGTTACGTGGAACAATCCCTCTTCCGTACCTACACCGGCCCTAAACCCCACCTCTTCCTCCGTTACATTGATGACTGTATCGGCGCCGCCTCGTGCTCCCACGAGGAGCTCGAACA